CTGTGAGCGGCCCGGCCACGCTGTGAGCGGCCCGGCCACACTGTGAGGGGCCACACTGTGAGGGGCCCAGCTACGCTGTGAGGGGCCAGGCCACTCCCAGATATTTCTCCTTTTTGTCTGACAGTCAGACGCCCTTTGTGTGGTTCAAGCTCCTGTGTGGTGAGTGCCTCTGACATACAGGGACACCGAGGCCGATCCCATCTCCATGTTCAGTGCTGGGATTGCAAACTCGTCCCCACTCCTTCCCTGAAAACGCACACGCATGCTTGCACATGGGCGCAGGGCCTCGGCTTACGGGGCAAGTCTGCGAAGTCCATCAGGAACTCCAGCCGCTCGGCCGCATCCCTCAGCTGCCTCCTGAGCTTGAACACAGTGACGTCGCTGGATTTCTTGAGGAACGCGATGAGGGACACCAGCTCCTCGGTGTTGGCAGGGATCTCGCTAACTTTCTCTGCGATGCTGCTGTACTGGTGGCAAATGCTGTGGAACAGAGGGCAGCCATCGGCACCACCGCCCTCCGCCAGCCCTCCTCCAAGACTCGCGGTGGGGCAGACGGGATTCCTAGCTGGAGACCAGGATGATGATGTCCAGCTGTTCTCTGCTGCAGCCTGATGCATGACACCCACATGCACACCACACTTCAGGAACACTTCCCGAGGGTGGCAGTGCTAGCTGGCACGTGCCAAGCCTGTTACGAGGTGCCACGCCCCCACTGCAATCATATATCAGCTCGTCTAAGCCTCACAGCAATCCTAAGAGGTAGGAACTGTTATTACCAGCAGTTTGGAAGGAAGCGAGGCTGACTAACTTGACCCAAAGCCACACGGGGTGCAGGTGTCAAATCCAGGATCTGAACCTGGTTCAACTGACTGCAGAGCTGCACTCTTCACAAACATACTGAGTAGAATTCAGATTCAGACCAAAACAATAGCAAGAATACAGCCAGCACCAGCAACTCCTCAGGTTTTATGGGGAGGAGAGTCCTACAGTATGGCCACTGCTCCCACAGCACACCAGCAGGCTCCTCCTCAGGTGCTGCCTGCAGGCCATCCCGGGACATTTACGTCCAGCTCCTGGCACTGCTGGGCCTAACTGCCCACTCCTCCTCAGCCGCACTGTGAGCGGGCGTGTTACTATGTGGATAATTGGAATATGCTCAATTTACAAAAGCCAGTGCATCTCAGTCTTCAGCATTTTAAGTATAATCAGGAACAAATGCTCTCCACGGCCCCCCTGCCTAGCACAGAGTGGCCCTCAAGAATGTGGGTAAGACGGCCGTGGTTGTGCTTATTACCAATTGCTACATGCCGACGGCCACCAGCACGCAGAACCTCTCCTCTCAGTGTTCTCAGTCCTCAACATCCCTTCTTAACACAACGGCGCCCCTTCGTAACAGAGTGACTTGCACCAACTGAAGAGAAAATGCCACACCACCTTGCAGCTGGTGCTGAGTTTAGGAATGAATTGGACACAGTTCTATCGAGAGAAGTGTCTGCTGTGCGGCCTGTGTCCAGAGCATTCTCCCCTTCTCAGCCCAGAGGTGGGTTATATTCCCCAGCCTCCTTCAGAGCTTCAGATGGGCATTTTACTAGTCAGCTCAGTTACCATCACAAAGTGTCACTGGGAGGCTTACAGAACAGGACTTCATTGTCTCACAGGCCGGAGGCGGAAGTCTGGGTCAGTGTGCCAGCTGGTTCGGTTCCTGGCGAGGACTCTCTTTCTGGCTGGCAGAGAGACGCTCTGCCCATGTCCAGACAGGAAGAGTTTTGGTGTCTCGTCTCTTCTTATAAGGGACACAACCTCTGACCTCATTTAACCTCATCGCCCTCTACAGGCCGGTCTCCAAGCAGTCACACTGGGCATGCAGATGTGCTTGTGCGCCCCCAAAATTCACATGTTGAAGCCCAATCCCTAATGTGATGATATTTGGAGGTGGCGTTGGGTGGAGAGTATCAGGAGGGTTATGACCACACACAGGGATCGGTGCCTGATAAAGGCGTTCCCTCCCCGTTCTGCTTTGTGAGGACACAGCAAGAAGAAGGGTGTCTATGAACCAGGAGGTGGGCTCTCAACAGGCACCTCTAGCCTCCAGGACTGTGAGAAACACACTCCTCTTGCTTCGAAGCCCCCCAGTCTGGGGCAGCCTGTCCCAGCAGCTCAAATGTACTCAGACAGACTGCGACATCGAACTGAGGGAGAGCACAACTCAGATCGTGTGACTGAGGTCCAGTCCTTGGGAGTGGGAAGCAGTGCAACCGCCACTCACAGGCGCAGCACATAACAGTGTCCTTGCTCTCTCCATGCTCCATGCTCTCTCCTCCCCCCGACTGCCCAGGATCTCAACACTTAAAATGACCTTGAAAGCTACATGTTGAAGATGTAAAGTTACCATCTTGCTTGAGTTTTTGAATGCACATAGTATTTCTCCTCCGTGAGTCTGGAGCTACCCTGAGCAAGAAATAAACTTCTATTGTGTTTGATCATAACATCTTGGGTCTATACGTTATAGCATTTGGCCTAACTAACTAACTAACTAATGCAGATAGATGCTCTCAGCCCAACAGACTCCTCCCTGATAGAATCCATCCTTCTTCCCTTTTGTATGAGAATTCAGAGTAAATATCATCTGGCTGCTGGCTGTCAGCTCCCTGGAGGCTAAGAGGGTAGCAGACTCACTATTTCCGAGACCCTCTAAAGGCCCTGAATATGACCCGATTATATCAACACAACTCCGTAACGATATCCAGGATAAACTGAAGACAGGAAACCTTGCCTTCTACATGTACTGGTAATATGATTTAAAACCTAAAAGGCCGGGCCCCGGCCTGGTAGCTCAGTTGGTTAGGCCAACATCCTCATACACCAAGGTTGTGGGTTTGATTCCTGGTCAGGGAACATACAAGAAGAAAAAAACAAAACAAAACAAAAGCCCTGAAAGGCCAGGGTCCCATAGACAATGCTATCTCTGCCCATGCCGGGGACAGCATTAGGGAGACCAGCGACGCATTTCGATCTGTGCCCTCTTTCTACTGATGTCCTTATTTTGGACAGGACTTCACACCCCGAAGAAAACAAGCAGCTGGACCACAGGGATAACTTCTCATGTCTCTGCTCAGGGCCCTGCAATTGGTCGATACTTCAGGTCACCGCTCTAGCGACTTAGATGCAAATGGCTGTGCCCCATCTTTCTGCCCAGGGCGCCCCATCCCGGGCACACCTAGCACTGGGAACAGGACAGTGAGGTGGCCAGGACAGGGCCTGGGATCAGGAGACTCAAACTCACTTTCTTGGGCAAGTTAGGCTTCCTTTCTGAGCCTCATGTCCCCTCCGCTCAGTAAGGGAGCTTCTGTCTGCCTTCCCCACCCCGGGGGCTTGTTGGGAAGGTCAAATCAGTCAGAGTCTCCGGTGTGAAGGCAGAAAGAAACGTTGGAACTCCGCACCAGCCTGGGGCCCTGCATCCTGAAGAATCCGTGGCCTCATAACAGGACCCTTATTTTCATTTATATTAAAAAGATTTCAGGGAATTATACTTTTATTTTGAGGAGGGTGAATGCACTACTGCTTAGGAAACACTTGCTTGATACTGAAACTTTCCAAAGAAAGTGTCCCCGTAGCATGAAGGCTCAAGCCTTGTACGCTCCGTCCCAACCTTCATCCTACAGGCAGAGAACTGGTCCCGACAGGTGCCTCCAGGAGACGCACAGCCAGGAAATACAAGGTTCAAACCCTGCTCTGGCTCCGGCGCCGGACCCTCCATCTCACCAGCCCTGAGAGGCTGTGCGGTGGCGCTGGGGTGGCGCTTGCTGCCCTCTCAGAGGCCCCTCTCCATCTGCACATACAGGGAGTAGCACACCGCCTCTTGGGCTCTGTGGAGGCCTCACCGGAGGGCAGCGCTCAGATGCTCACAGCCCCTGAACGGGACGCTGGGCTGGGAAAATGGTAGCTACTATATCATTAATTTGTTAGTGAGTTTCTGACAGGTAACTTGTAACTCTTAAAGTACTATAAATGCTAAGCTTACACATGTTTACATTTATGTGGATCACATGTAACACTGTATAACAGGGACCATTATTCCTCAATCGTGCAGCCTGTGGTTTAGAGCTCCCTAAGGAACAGCTGGAGCAGGGATGAGCTGTTCTGTGACACTCATGGGACATGGGGGCAGAGGTGCTGCCCAGCCTCTCCGCACCAACCCTCTCTGCCAACCACGCCCAAGTCTTCTGGGGGAGCCCTCTCCCTCTCAGTCCACGTGGCCTAGTAGGGTGACATCCACCCCAGAGACAGGAACCCCCTGATGGCAGCCGTCTTCGCCGGTCTGCTGCTGCACAGGTGAGCTGCGGGCCAGCGTCACACTGGCCAGGGCTGCGGGGCGGCCGTTGGGAAAGCAGAAACCTTTTTCCCTCTGGACAGAACCTGAGAGGCTGTGAGCCAGAGCTGCTGGGGTGCACACACCAGGGAGCCTGTCTGGGGGTGCAGCCAACACGGGGAGCTGAGGGAGGGAGGGAGCCTGGGCCCTGACTGCCGGGCGGAGGGCCGAAGCCAGCAACCCCTGAACTTTCCAGCGTGCGAGCCCCAGGCTCCCTTTTTTACTTTTGCCAGCCTGTTTGGGCTTCTGTCCTTACAACCAACACCATTTCGACTGATGTATCAATACTCATCCGTAAAGTGAAGGCACCACATCAGGCTTCCGGAACGACGGACCCCAGCCCTATCCAGCAGAGGCCTGATGGAGCACATGCTAGGTGGTGGGCAGCAGCACCCAGCAGCCTGGCAAGCAAGCGAAGGCTGAAGGGTCTGAGAGGGGCATTACCCCCCTCACTCCCCCTCCTCCCCTTGCTCCAAGCCCCACGGTGTCTCACTGCTGCTCACCTTCCAGCCGAACTTGAATTCCCTGCCACCCTCATTTTGGGTTCAGCCTGGTCATTGTCGGGAGGTGCAAATGCTGTCTACATCCCCCGGTATGTGCCAACTCTCAGTGCTCTTTCTCCGCACACCTGGCAGTACCTGGCATTGGTGTCCCGGTTCACATCCACTTGGTACTGAATCAGGCGGTCTTTCAGGTTCTGGGCTCGCTCACAGAGGTCGTAATTGAGGGTCATGGTGTCAAGGCAGAACATGGCCAACGGCACGGAAATGTGCATGGATGCAATTTCGTTTTTCCGCTTTTTTATGCTATTGATCTTCTGTAAAAGGAGCACATTCACTGGTCAATTCATCAGTGGCCTCTGTGTGTTGCCCGCAGCCTCGGCCCTGGCCACCCCCTCAGATCGCAGCACAGCACACAACCTCCACCAGGGGGCCGCGGCCACCCACTGCGCGTGTGTAGCACACATCACCAAGACACGAAATGTTCAGTGGCATCTCCTACCGTCACAAAGTCATCAATTTCATGATTTTCTTTCAGGAATGCAGTGATGCTCTGCTCTGCCGTGTTGTCCAATAAGTCGTCATACCTTCTGTAGACATTTAAGTATCTTGCATGTCGAAGGGCATAGAATCAAACACACAAACACGGGCCACAAGTTAGCTTAGTCGGAGTGGCAAATGCGGAGACACACTGAAAATCAGCCCAAACCAAGACAGGAATAGAAGCTGACAGGGTACATGGAACGGGAAATGCAGAACTTCGGCTGAAAATTCCAGTTTTGTTACCTCCTGGCGACCTGAACTTAGACAAGATATTTCTCTTTTTCAAAGAGCCGTGTCTCTTAACTAACGTGGAAATAGTGACTCCTCAGAGCACAACTGCAACAAGGTCTATGAGGAGTCTCCACGGAGCCTGACACACAGCGGGTGTGCAGTAGCCATGACCCCATCCCTCCTTCCAGCTCTAAAGTTGTGGGTCTCAATTTTAAGATGAAAATTTGGAATGAATGAACTAAAGCCAATGGAATAAAATTAAGTTTCCCTCTATCCATTAGCTGATCTCGCGGAAGGGCTGGGCAGTTTCTCTCAGTGGGAGGATGTATTGGGATGGTCCCACTGAGTTCCTGTGAACATACAGATGCTACGAGGAGCAGAGTTAACTGGAGGCCAATGGAACTCTTCCATAGGATGACTGACTTCAGAGACTCAGAGACGGAGATGCAGGGGAACCCTGGGGCTGCAAGTCAGAGAGCAAACCGGGAGGGCCCCCCCGCCCCGCAAACAGGGCCAGCCGGGTTTCCCACTGAGGCTCCGAGCCACATGCACAGGTGGGAGCTGCCCATCCGAGTCCGTGGTTTTCAGACCAGGTTAGCAGTTCTCATCAGGGATGGGTTTTGCTCCCAGGGGACACTTGGCTATGCCTTGGGCCATTTATCGTCGCCGTAATTGTAGAGTCCTGCTGGCATGTTATGAAAGGGTAGAGGCCAGGGACGCTGCTACAAACTCTGCTATGCGCAGGCAGCCCCACAGTGCAGTGTCCGGTTCTAACATCAACAGAGCTGCGCCACGAGCCCAGGTGAGGGTGAGCACGTGTCCTGGCTTGTGTGGGACAGTCCCATGGTGACTGTGGCCAGACAGGGTCCCAGGGTCCTCTCCACTCGCAGGGTCTCCGTGTAGAAGCTAGCAGTTGCATCTGCCATCACCCAAACGCATGCCTGCTCACACGAGCAAATGCCACGTGCTCCCAGCGTCACCACTCAGGGCATGCAGAGCACTTGTCCTCGGTCCTTGTCCTCCCACCCCTAAGTCCAGCGAGCTCTGGAAGCAGAGAGCTGCTCTAAAATTCATCGAATAGCCAAAGCTGCCTGAGCGGATGTGGGCTGCTGGTGGGCATGTCCTCACTCTCACTGGGGAAATACCTGCCTGTCAATCAGACGAAGGGGTGCTGCCAGGCCTTAGGTCACAGCTTGGCCTCTCCTGGGATCCTGCAAAACACCTACTACACAAGGCCACTCTACCAAGTCCAGGAGATATAGCAGCTGCCACCTTCCTACAGCCCGGACATTTCTAACCTGTCTGGCCACACGGTTTCAGGTGCTGGAAGTGGACTGTACCGGAGTGTGAACTCTGGCTCCGGTTCGTTTTCTGGGCCACGCGTCCTCGTGTGAAACGGGGACGCATGTAATTCCCGGGTAAGCAGCTATTGGCTATGATTATGCACCGTTTCAGCTGTGTGGGAGCAGAGACCATTCCCTTGAAGGCAGTAAGAATGGTCAGCCAATGCCCAAAGGCTAAGTTACAGCTACACCAACTTACTTGTGGGGGCCGACTTGGTTTTTCTGAAAGACCTGGAAAGCCTGATCCACGTAGTCAGAAACCAGCTTTTCTTCAGGGTTAACGGTTCCAAGAACCAGGTTATATCCTTTTAGCTCTGGGAACAGGAAAGATTCCACCTAAAGAACAGAAGCCGTGAGATTTGAGGGGGGTGCGGCACCGCGGGGCAAGGTGTGCAGTGGGTTCATTCCCAGGACACCAGCTGCCGTCCTGCTCCTGCTGCTCCTGAGCGAGGCTGGCTCGCTCGCCTCTTGTGGGTCACTCAGCGCTCAAGTCCTTGCTCCTCTCAAGTCTCATGTCCTTGGAGAGTCCCGGGACCCAGTGGAGATTAGGTGTCCCTGCTGAAAGCTCAGGCTCTGAACTTTCTCATCACAACTGTCACTAAATGAGTGCATAATGAGCTGTCCTAGGTTTGTCAGAGGATCTAAATACCATGAGAGCCTGGATCATATCTGAGTTCTGTGCTCCTGTGAAGAGCTCGGCACACAGTAAGTGCTCAATAAATACCGTGGGAGTGAAGAGATGTCATAGGGTGCCCGCCACCCCATCAACGTCTCTCTAAGGAAAAGCTCCTAGATGTGCTGGTTTCTCTTCAGACCACATAGATCTTTTGCTTTTTAAAATTGTTTTATTGCTCTTTTATTTCTGACTGGTCTGTTTTTGTGTTTCCTATCCCTTTGTTGAAGTTCTTACTAAGTTCATCTACTCTTCCCCTAAGTTAATTGAGCATCTTTATAACCAGTGTTTTGAACTCTGCCTCTAATAGATTGCTTGTCTTGATTTTGTTTAGCTCTTTTTCTGGAGTTTTGTTCTGTTCTTTCATTTGGGACACATTTCTCTGTCTCCTCATTTTGGCTGCCTCCCTGTGTTTGTTTCTGTGTATTAGGTAGGGCTGCTATATCTCCTGGGCTTGGTAGAGTGGCCTTGTGTAGTAGGTGTTTTGCAGGATCCCAGGAGAGGCCAAGCTGTGACCTAAGGCCAGCTGCTGTTAGTGCTGGGCCTCGGATCACTTAGGTAGAGGTACGGGTCTCTCTGAGGCCAGATGCTGCTTATTTGAAAGATTTTAGAAAAGTCCAAAGAATGAGTCAAGATAGGCTATTTGTGTGGAAAAGCCACTGGAATTGGCTTGGGATGGGGCCCACAGGTTGGGTGGGGCGGGATCTCAGAGACTCACCAGGGCGGGGCTAACAGTGTCCGTCAGGTTGATGAAGACTCAGATATGGTGCCCAACTGCCCACTCCGTGGAGTCGGGTGGGATCTCAGAAAAGGAACAATGGCCTCTGTCAGCACTTGTCTGGGAGAAAGCTGCCGCTCCAGCTTTCACCCCAATGCCATACTATTCAGTTCCTCTTCTTATGTCCCTGGTGCATTTTGAGTTGCTGACCCAGCACTGGAGTTCAGAGGGAGTGAGTCTGAATAAGTCTGTGGGTGGGTCCTTTAAAAGGAACTGCCTGCGACTCTAGCAGCCCTCTGTCTCCCTCAGCTTCAATACCCACTGGTTTTTATAGCAAGAAGATATGGGGACTTCTCTTCCTGGCACTGGAACCCTAGGCTGAAGGACCTGGTGTGAGGTTGGGATCCCTTGCTCTTCAAAGGGGCCTCTGCAGCCAAGATATCCCTCCTGATTTTTATCCGCCCTACAGGGAGTGGGGACAGCACGTTCTGAGTCTTTGCTTTTCGTATCAGTGTCGATGTGGCTTCCTCTTTATATCCTTAGTTATAGGGTTTTTGTTTAGCTAGATTTCAGGCAGTTCTGAGTGATGGTTATTCTGTAGCTTAGTTGTAACTCTGATGTGATGTGGGAGGATTCAAGTATCTCATTTACCTACGCTACCATCTTGATCAGAACCCCCTCAATTTTACTTTTTATGAAGATAAATATTTTCTAAAATATGCTTTTGTTTCCTTTACTCAGTTTCTCACAAATATGCTTTCCTCCTGCACCTTGAGAGCTATTATCAAACATCTCACGCTGACTTTTTCCAACTTCTAAAATTCATGTAAAACTATATGACTGGTAGGGACTGGGCGTACTGTCTACCTATTGCTGCTCTTGGATATTTTTTTTACATATTCAACATGAAGAACTATACTTTTACATTTTCGCTACCCAGTTTAGAGACAGGGTGGTCTGAGTCTGATGGAGAACTCTGGGCCTGTGCTGCCTTTTCTCACAGTTGGATAAAGTCATTGGCATCACTTGGGCCTAGCTTTCAAACCTGGTACAAACTGTGACCTGTGACTGGGTCTCCTTGCCATTACAATCCACTGAATCTGCCACTGGCTCCGCTGGGCTGTCTGCAGTAGCAGGCACACGAGCCCTGGGTGCTCCCAGCCCAGATGCTTGCAAACACTGCTGCTCAGCAGCAGTGAGGGAGCGCGCAGGCCGTGTGCACTGTATCTGTCCCCAAGCCCCACACTCGTCCTTCCAATTACAGGTCTGCTCCCTCGTTTTCTTCCTCAGGATACTGATTGCAGCAGCACTGTGCATTTTTTGTTCCCCAGCACACACACAGCTTCTTGTTAACCAGGCCTGGTTGGGTTCAAAACCCCAAATTTAGATCAAAACCAACTGGAGCATTGGTTTCACATGCTTCCCGACAAACCCAACTTGAATCTTGAGCTTGTAGAACCAGCCCTCTCAGTAAGGAACTACAGAGAGAGGAGTGCTTACGAGCATCCAAGTATCATATACATACATGGTCGGGAGAGGAGGAAGAGAAGCATCCCACAGGTCCCTTCCCCATGTGGACCTGACACTGGCTCCCTTGCCACACTAACCAACCAGAAGGAAACAGAAGATGGCACACAACGGAGTCCCACACAGGTGGATGACTTGGCCCAGCCCTAAGACCCTGTTAACCCGTGTCTGGGGTCTGATTAGCGAGGCCATCCCAGGAAGGAAACTGGAAAGGGCTCAGGCCAGGAAGGGAGGTTTCACTCCCTCCCCTAGCCACCAATAATGGGTGAACAAACAAAACAAACACGGAATCTCAAGAGCTAAATCAGATATAGTTTGGTATAGATTCTTGGCAAGTTCATGGCATCCGCTCCATCGTGAATTACCAAACCAAGTTGGATACAGCTTGGGACACATTTGCCCTTTGGAGGTGGGCATCCTGGGGGACTCTACTCTCCCACAAAGTAACTCTTAATGCCCTTGTTAGAAACACAGTTCTGGGATTCATGGGCATGTTTTTATGGTTCAAATCCTCTTCCTGGGAACAAGAGGGTTTACTCAGGATAGAACTCCCAAACTGAAACTCCCCTGACTGAATATCTTGTATAAATAGCCATTTTAAATATACTTTATGCAATAAGCAAAACAGAAAGAAAAGTATAAGCATATGGTTAAGTGAATACTCTACCTTGGGGATCCTCTTAGAGTTTTCAATAATTTCCAAGAAAGAGTTGTGTATTAACTCCCAGCAATCATCAAAAGATGGATTGAAGGTAATAATGGGCTCACTGACTTCAAGTTTGATCATGATTAGCTGAGGAATAAAGAACTCCATCTCTTGGTAGGGCTCTTCAAAGTCATTCCCATCCTTCAGGAGACATAAGACATGGCAACTGTCACAAAATGGAGCCTTCTAGAATTAAGGGAGCAGACTACACCATTCCTGGTACCACAAGCATCAGACAAGGGCATGAAGGGCATCATGCACCACATGCTTAAAATGAGGCCAAGGGTGCCTTAGTCCACCCTGAGCTCATCCTCTTACCTTCCCCATAGCTTTTACTCAGTATGTTTACTTTGCTTGAAAATTCCTGCATCAGTATTTCCAAATCCTCCTCATCCTTCAAAATTCATCTCAAAATCTCCTCCACTTCTGAACTTCCATATTTCCACTCCTTCGGGGTATTTCATCTTTCTTTCTTGTAGAGATTTATAAGTACATCTTATCTTTTCTATTCTACTCTAACCTGAGGGCAGGACCTGTGTCTGAACCATCTACCTCTTCCAAAATATCCAATACTGTGTTTAGCACATAGTAGGTGCTCAATAATAATTTTCTGACTGAATCCAAACATATAATTATTATCTGCATACTTCAAATAAATGGAGTTGCTAATGAGCCTCTAGTCTATTTTAGACACTCAAAATGTCAAGCTTCCCTACAACAAAAATATTGGTGTGGAAATATTCATAATTCTCTACACAGCCTTGTAATACAAGATGCCTTTCATAAAAGACAGGGCCTAATGAAACTGCCATAGGGCAGCTAGGAAGTACTTGTCTGACTAATTGCTTTTAGGCATTTTTAGATCAGTTTAAGGATGACTGATAAACATTTGTTGACAACTACTCTGTATCAAATACCCATAAGTTTTCCTCTTCCTTCAGACCTACGAAGATTTTATTTTTCCCTGTGTGCAAGTTTAGGGTGAGATCTGTTTACACAGCTGAGTCTCTTCTGCTTAGTAGAGTAGAACTTACAATGACACCTATAAATTGGTCTCGTTAGAGTGCTAACACTGCAGTCTAAATTCAACAGCACTTGTGTCTATACTGTTTGAGCAAAAGGCAATTGTTCATCTTTATTTAATTAGAAAAATGCTTAGAACTTAACCTAGGCTCCTGAAGTTTAGGGGATATTGTGATGCTCCGAAAACCAGAACTTAGTGTTTTTGGTTTTTATTTCGACTTCACCGAAGTCATTTCATGAAGGAAATTATTAATTAGGTCAACAAAGCCATTTGGTTTTAGGGATGCCCCTTTCAAAGACCAAAGAACAAAAGTCAGTATGTACAATGATACAGACAACATTTCTGAAACATCCAGCTAAAGGCTTACAACAATCTTTTTCAACCCTGTCCTTTGATAGGATGAAAAAGTGGCCATACCCTTTACTATAAAGGGCATGTATTCCATTTTATTAAATCTTTCTTTAATTTTTCTTAACAACTTCTACATTTCTGTAGATTTTTACATATTTAGTAGTAGTTAATTATCTCATGAAAGCTTGCTGTATATTCACATTAGTTTATAAACTAACTAGAGGCCAGGTGCACAAAATTTGTGCACCCAGGGGTGGGGAGTGTCCCTCAGCAGGCCTGCACCCTCTCGCAGTCCAGGAGCATTCAGGGGAGTCGGCCTAAGCCATCAGTTAGACATCCTTAGCACTGCTGCAGAGGTGGGAGAGGCTCCTGCCACTGCCGCTGCACTCATTAGCCTTGAGCCCGGCTTCTGGCTGAGTGGTGGGAGTGCACTGACCACCAGGGGGCAGCTTCTGCATCAAGCGTCTGCCCCCTCGTGGTCAGTGCATGTCTTGGTGACTGGTCATTCTGCCATTTGGTCAATTTGCATATTAGTCTTTTATTATATAGGATAAGGACCTGAAGTGTGTGTGAACAAGGGTTTTTATTTTTTGTCCTGGCTCATAGCTGATGGAATCCTGATTCTATCTTAATCATTTACCCTCAAAAGGGCTGGTTTATGACCCCCTACATACCTTGTGTATCATGAAAAAGGAGATGAGATCCTCAAGAGACTTAATGACCAACTCTCTGAGCTGGAGTGACATGAATGATGCAATAGAAGCAAAAAATTCCTCGATGTTCCTGGAGGAGTCGTAGTCACTCCTGGGAGCAAAATGGATCCACTGCTCCTTCTGGGAGACAAAAAGCTGAGCACAGGTGGGGATCCACCTGCAAAGACAGGAGGATAGCCAAGTAAGAACCTCCTCGAATGGTATTTTCACACATCTGGCTGCCTCTCCTGCCAACACCCCTCTCCTGAGAAGAAAGCAGTAAGGTTTGAATTGAGAGACTATTCTTCCTCATTGGTCCTTTTTTTCCTTCCACAAATTCTGATTCCCAATTCCCAGTGGGAATCACTGGTCTTACCATCCATTACATCTCTTTTCTGCTTGCCAGAAAACTACTGTTCTAGCATCTAGAAGTCCTAGTGCTAGTCATGGTCAGAGGTAATAATTACCATATTTACTAAGCAGCTGCTGAGTGCCAGCTACTGCATATACTTACATATCCTCTAATATGTAAAAACCCAATGGTATTATCATCATCATTTCACATAAGGGAATTAATTTCTCTGGACATAGTCCTGCATGTATTTGCAAAGCAAAAAGGAGTTGTCGGAGTGACTGAAAACCCTCTAACCTGGGCACCTGGGGGCTGTTTATCTGGGCCACCTGCATGCAAGTCATTCAAGTGCACTGTGCCATGACCGGTGAGGCCTGAGGGTTTCAGAGGAGGGGACGGAAGGGGCACCCTCACACCAATGGTAATGAGAGAGTTTAAAAGCGAAGGGAGACTGGGGTGGGGCTGATGCACAGTGGGTGTGAGGAGACACGAAGGCTGGGGGCACTGGAAGGAAGAGGACAGAGAAAGACGCCAGTGGGACGTCAGCCGCTGTGCAGCCCCCGGGCTGGGACTGAGTTTTCCTGCAGGGCATTTCCTGTCTTTAGGATCCTGTGAGGAGCCCCACTCAGGCCGGGTACTGACTTGCTGAGCAGGACTTGGCGTGCTTCCACGCAGTGCTTCCAGATCACATCCTGATATTCCTGGGGCTGCAGAGGCAGTTTCCCTGCCAGTAATTCTGCTGTTCGAACAAACCTGAGGTCTCTGAACCTGCCAAAAGAAGGGGGAAAGCAGCTCAGCTTCGTGACAAATTGTGTAGGACGGGCTCAAGAGGCATATATGCTCTTTCTTCAATAGGAGAGCTAAACAGATCAAAACTAAGTATATCTGAAAAACTGGGGAGTCGGAGGAGGAAGTGGACATCCACAAACACTCTCGCAGAGAGCAGATACACGAGCCACTCAGCAGGAGGTTACTGAGTCTTCTTGTGTGTCGTGCTGCACCCAACTGGGGACAGGGTTTGGGCACCAACTTCGTATTTGGTGGCTGAGAACTGGGATGTCAAATGGACTAAACAAAGTTCTTTGCAAACAGTGAAGACAAAGAGGACAGGGCACACAGAGCATCTTCGCGATCAGGTGGGTTACTGAGCTACTCAAGAAAACACGGTGCAGCCCAGCCAGCGTGGCTCAGAGGTGGAGTGTCGACCATGAACCAGGAGCTCACGGTTTGATTCCTGGTCAGGGCACATGCCTGGGCTGTGGGCTCTATCCTCCGTGAGGGATGTGCAGGAGGCAGTCAATCAATGATTCTCTCATCATTGATGTTTTTATTTCTCTCTCCCTCTCCCTTCCTCTCTGAAATCAAGAAAAATATACCTAAAAAAAAAACACACTGTCCCACCCCTCACAGTTCACCAAAACATGCAGCCTCCCTCAGCACCCGGCCTTACACAATGCAGGCACTCAAAGTACATTTGTTGAATGAATGTCCCCCTCTGAGATGCTCTTCTCTTTTCCTGTTTCTTTCAGATCAATGGCTAAGTTGCTCTTCACCACACTCCTCAGGCCTTCCTTGGCTCTGAGGGCACCAGTCCTCTTCCTGGCTCATATCGGAAGGAATCCCTCCACTCGGTTATAAATCACTCTGACATCACCAGCGCCTGTCACTTCCCCAAGGAGATCTCTGCTCTGCCTCTTAGCTTGTCTCGTTCTTGCTCCTCCGTTTCCTCACTCACTGTAATGACCTTTAGGCGGCCCTTCCTTCCTGAGACCTGGCAGCCCTATTCCTTCTTGGTGGAGGTGGTGAGCCTAGCTTTCAGCTTGCCTGGCCAGGCCAGGGCACTGCCAGGGGAGGACAGAACCTGAGGACTCAGTGCCATGCACGCTGCCACCCAGCCACAGGTGGCCCTTGTTACCACCTGCTAAGGATGTTGCACATCTTTAACTGAATCCTAGCAAATTTTCCAATGGCCAGAAAATCTATTCTTTCTGAGACCACAACCCTCATCCTGTCCCCAAACACCTCACCCTTCACAGATAACGAGGTGACCTCTCAGGATTTTTGAAGTTAAATAGTGCAGGCCATGTAAGAAAAGTACTCTGTATCATTTCCTTAATAAATCTTTCTCACTGTGAATTTTTTGATTCAGGCAACAAAAGCCTTCTGAATACTTCTGGGTCATTTTTGTACCTCTGTTGCCTACGGAATCTTACAGAGCCATGAAAAGCACACGGTACGCATCCGTTCTTCTCAGTACGGGCTATCGGTTCAATAGTTTGTCATCCTCATTACACAGTAAATTAAACTCACACGCACATTCCCGTGGCACTGAGCCTCTGGCCATGTCACCAGGCCCGAGTGAGTTCCTCATTAGTTTCCAGGTTGATTTATGTTTTGAGGCTATAAACACGCTTGTAGTTAAAGCAGTGCTGCCCGCGGGCCACGCACCTTGCTCCCCACTGTGCTGTACCCAGCATGCTCCAGGGTTTGGCGACCGTGGTGCGTGGGCACAACCACCGTGTGCCCAGCACTGTTCCAAGCACCTCCCCTAACAGCCACATGAGGGGAGCTTTGCTATTATTCTCACTTTGCATATAAGGAAACGGGCCCAGAGAGATGAACTTACCCCAAATCAAAAGTTCTGTAGTGACAGAGCAAGAACATTATTACTCAACATAATTCTACCCAGTTAGAAACTTACTTCTTTTTTTTTCATTGTCTTGATGGACACCTGCAAAGCCTTAGAAAACGGAATTCAGTTCAAAGAAGGAATGTGCTTACTTCTTACCATTGGTGGGCTCCATCCTAGGTTGACTTCCCCAACAATTCCTTTTAAAAATATAGGTAAAGCTAAGAATGTGAAAACAACTAAGCTCTCCAAGATAAAACACATTCTAAGCTAGAGACCTTCCCAAGACAAAATATTTGAGCTGCGAAGTTCAGCCAATCAAAATTAAATACATGTAATTGCCTCTAACTTTTCTAAAAAGAACCCAGATGGTGGCAGCCTGACTTTCAGTGAACTCTGGTGGCCTTATTCTCCCACAGGAGTTGCACTCCCTCTTGAGGGACCCATAGAATGTGAGTCTTTCTTCCCAGTGCAATGGAAGAATGCGGGATAGCCACACAGTGAGATATTGTTCAGCCAGAAGAAAGAATTAAGTCCTAATACATGCTTCTCTGAATGAACCTTGGAAACATCCTGCTGGTGGAAGCAGTCAGACACAAAGGACCTGGTTCCGATTACAGGAAATGTCCAGACGAGGCCAAGCCCCAGAGACGGAGAGCAGATCAGTGTCGCCAGGGCTGAGAGGAGGGGGAGGGTGGAAAGACTGCTGACAGGTACATGTTTCTTTGGGGGAGGATAAAAATATTCTTGAGTTAAATATTTGTAAAAATTTGCAAATATACTCACAACGACTGCATTGTACACTTCAAAGGGGTGAGTTTTATGGTGTGTGAATTGTATTTCAATTTAGAAAAACTTAAGAGGAAAAAAAAGAGACTCCTGCCTGCGCTGGACTTTTACAATTCCTGTGGCCAATTAGTCACTGATGACTTTCACCGAGGCGGCCGCCAGCCATCCTGTGGGGAACTGAGTTAGATCAATGAGTAAGACCCAAGTACGCAGTGTGGGAAGCTGCCCATTGTCTTCTCTAGCAGAGAGGTGTGGACAAGGACCGGAAGGCTGGTGACCCTTGAAGCCCTGGCAAAGGTCAGAGCTATGCACCTACTGTTCAGTGGAGACAATGGTAGCAGAAGCAACTTCCCCATCTATTATCATGTAAATCCTTGCTGGTAAGTCTGCCTGTTACTGGAACTTGCCTGCCTAAGGGCTATGGGTGGATCCCAAACTGAATAAAAAGATGCCAAGGCCCGAGCACAACCAGAGTCCATCCTCTTGGGATGGGCTCTCCGTTGGCCCCCCAGTTTCCAAATTATTATCTCTTGTCTGGTCTCTTTCATTTGTCCCAAACCCTAAACCACACGGGACGTGGGGAAAACAAACATTACACATATGGCGCCCGAATAAACATTACACAACCCACCCTCTCGTGGGCTGGAGGTCGAGCAAGTAAACATACAATTAGAATTCAGCGAGACACAGGTGGTAATGGAGGTACTTCAGGCACTGTTCTGAGTACCTTACAGCATTAACTTAGTTATTCCTCCTACAACCCTATGAGCTCTCATTATCCCAAATTCAGGGATGAGGCACAGAGAGGTGGTAACACACCCATACCTATCACCTATGAATCCCCGAGTCCAGGTCTGGCCCTGCAGCCTGGCTCCATGCCTGTGCTCTTAACCAGGATGCTCCAGTGCTGAGAGACCCAGGGGCTGTGGGCCAGTTCCTATGCCTGTTGGTCTGATGTTGTGATTTCGTGCCCAGGACAGGGCTACCTCATAGTGCCCAGCATAACATGTTCTCCTATGTGTGGAAGCAGCAAAGAGAGGGGAGAGGGGAGGGAGGCCCTTCTTACTCTTCAAACCACAGCTGCTCCAGGATGAGCACCATGGGGTTCACCGTGTGCAGGTGCTCCTCGTTCCACTTCTTGGCACTCTTGTAGGCCCCGTGCCAGGGCACAGGCGCCCGGATGGCTCTCTGTGGGAACAGGCGGGGGGTGCTCTCGATGAAGAGCCTCTTCTTCTCCTCTGGGTCCATGAGGATGTAATCAACTAGGACCAATGGGAAACACCGTTATTATGCAGGGACCCTGAGCACTCGTGCTCTTAGCTTCAACTCTCCAAAGGCAACACTTGAAAATGCTCCCTCATGGGCAGGGTCGCCACCAGTCCCCTGAGCATGCTCTGCGGCTCTGTGTTTTCTGTCTGAAGACACCAACCAAGGAGGTGGGTAACCTCAGCTTGGAGCGCAAGGAACCCGGGATGGCATCCTGTTAGGATATCTAGCATCTGCATGACAATGAATGAGTATTTGCTGATGCCTCATTAATCATTAATTGACTCCTCACACCAAAATCAACACAATGGATGACACCAGATACTTGTAATGGAAATTCAGAGATCAAAAACATCACATGCTAAGGAAAGAAAAATTGGTAAAAGCTTCACAGGCGAAGTAACATCTGAGCTGGGTCCTGAGGGGTGAGGGGGTGTTTCTGAGACAGGCCCAGGAGGGAAGACGGGCCGAGGAGCAGCATGTAATAGAGTGCAGGCCACTCTGTGGCAGGAATAGCAGGTGCCAGTGGTTTGAGTTCAAGGTGATAAAACTGGAAAAGTAGGTTGGGGCTGGAATTTGAAGGACTTACAAGTTTATTCTTCTGAGTTTGGTTCTACCTTTAGTAAGCAAGGAGCCATTACACTGACACCACCAGAAAGTTAATTAGGAAATTAAAAATAACTAGACAAGTTGGTGAAGATGGCTGTTGTCCAGATAAAACAGGAAGGAAGGAACTAACATGGTCACCCTCTGCCAGGGTCTGAGCCCCATCGGTCCAGGAGTTCCCAAAGGTGTGGTCGGAGTCGGCGAAGAATGAGCTGGAGACAATGTTCAGATGACCAGCATAGCCAGATTCTCCCTTTATTCTCCTGTTACATCTGTATTTATACCATTTGATCCTATAAGCATGCCTCTATAGTCACATCATGGTATGTTTTGGGTCCTCCCTTGACCTTTTACAGTTCCTTGTTTCATGTCCATAGTTTCTTATCTGACCTTTGCCAAAAATCCCATCTCCATCTAGTTCTGTTGATTTTAATCCTAACCATTCTATTCCAAAGGTTAGGGCTAGTTTATCTCCATTCCAAGGTCACTACTCTACTGTTCTGTTAAGCTACAAGGAAGTAACTGAAGGAGATTATCCTATTCTATGGCCTAAGTAAAGATTATGTAGTTTAAGCATGATTGTTCGTAGTTAAGGTGATTAACTACCTGCCTGGCGCTTAGTTAAGAGGTTTTACTGATTAATTCCCTTCCTTAGTCCTGTTAATCCCTAACTCCAGGGAAACATCCTCACCTGGGGAAACAACCTTTCTCGGGGAGGTGACCCTGGTAAAACACATAGCGCTAAGAAGGGAAGCAAACATATTAAGAACAGTATGCCATAAATGCCAGGTCCCTTGAAACATATGCTGTGCAGGTGTTTCTTCCCTGCAGCGACTGTGTCAAGCAGCAAGGATGGACTGGCTTCCGGCACCACCTCCCACTCATCTCTGGGTCTCTCCCACCTGGAACCTGCCCTACAGGGGGTGTGGCAGCAGAGGTCGTAGCTTCCAGAGCTAAGGCCCAGGATGTGGGTTTGCAGATCACAGGGAGGAGGACAACTCACAGGAAGATGGAAGAGCAGATGTTTGGTAACCAGCTGTCTGCCCTGCCATGCAGGTGAGTCTCAGCTTTACAAAA